CTCCCATCTCTAAACTCTTCTGGACTAAGCCTCCTTCCAAAAGAATCTGTCTGACTTTTTTCTAACCAACCATAGAAGCCATTGCTTTGACTTCATCTGCACTTACATCTTTGAGTAATAGAGAAGTAGGAATGTCTTCCTACTTTTTCTCCATGTGCTTATGTTATTTCTTGCTTAATCTTTCCAAGTTCAGTTGCAGCTTTGCCTCCTTCCCAGGGATCATCTTTGCCACTGTATTTTCTACACTTCAAGAGTAGGGCTTTGTGCATTCTAACTATCCTACTCCATCTTAGTCTAAGCCATTGCACCTCCCTATGGGCCAAGCTCCATTCTTGCCCTCAAGTCCTGTTTTCTTTCCCATTTACATCTTCTTTCCCTCAGCAGCCCTCACAGCAAACTAAATATTGCTAGGTAATGTTCACCAGAAGATGCTCATTGTCCCAAACATCCTACCTACTGGAGCAAGCTCTCTACACTCTGTGCCCCATCACCTCTCTCCCTCTCCCTCCCAACCCCCCATTCTCTCTCTCTTTTCTCTCCTTCTCCCTTCCCCTCCCCCTTCTCTCCCTCCCCACACTGGCTTGATACCACTTCTTGAGCAGATTGTTGCCTTAGGAACAATTGGGGGACTGTCCCTTCAAGAGTTACTTCAAATTCCTCCTGAGTCAGTGACCAGCCAGTGCAAGTTTACAGCCTGGCCCAATCCCTAGAAAGCCCCCCACTCCAACCCATGGTCCTGTTTCCACAGATTTTAACATGCTCCATGCATTTCAGCCTTTGGTTTGCCTGTTATTGTCTGTCTTCTGAATAGGAATGTTACTTTTCTTATTTTTGTGTGTGGCTAATGGGTAGTTTTCTCTTATTCATTGCTGGAACTCTAAAAATCAGTGTTTTGATTGGATAACGAGTAAATCAATTTATGGATAAACATGAGTGATTACAACATGATAAAAATTATATGCACTCTGGAAAGCATAGTAGTAAGTAAATGTATATTTAAGTGCTTGAGATTATTTTGGCTAGTTTAGAAGATAGTAGTATAGTCAAGAATTCGAAAGTATTGAAAAATAATTTACTTTCAGCTGGCTATAACCTTTAAACATAAACATCATCTAGGTATATATTTACCATTTAATAATGGAAAAAGCACAGTTTCTAGATTTAATTCACCTTCCAGTATCTTCACCCTCCAATTGCCTTCAGTAAATTACATCCACCTTATCGGATAATGCACAAGTTGTATATCCACAATTGCAGGTTTTGGCTCCCTAGGGCCTGATTTTCCTCAGGTGAGCCAAGCTCATTTTAGTATAACAGATATGCTTAAACAGATATCTCAATTGGGAAATTTCTAGAGAATGCCCCAAATCTCAGCTACATCCCTAAGGATAAGTCTTTACTCTGACAGAATTTCTTCTTTTATAGCCTGCCATATATAAGTGCATAGTTTATGGGTTCTGGTTCCAAGATTTTATATTATTTTCCACATCTGACATAATAAAACCAGTCCATGAAATCTGGGCCTTGTTAAAAAGCTATCAAAAAGTTCAGTGTGCAAGGCTGGAATCAAATAATTTTTTAATAAAACCTTCCTGACAATCACAAATACTGAGGGAATTATTTTCTATTAAACAGAGGGAGGATCCCACAAAATTCAAATAATCATGGTTATCACTGTATTTTTCCAATGCTGCTTAAAACATCATTGCAGTGAGTAATACTATCTTCCTTTCATCCCTTCACTTTTATTTTGGAATCAATAACAGTTCAGACTGTCCCCAGATAACTGCTAAACATACATCTTCAAATAACTTAGGCTTCTCCAAGGAAATAATCCTGCAGTTTTAGGATATACAAAATATTTTTTAAATCCCCTTTAATATCTATTTCTGGTGACTAATGATAAAGTTTCCTCCAAGAATTGAAGATTATAATAAAAGACAAAATGCACTCCAGTCATCCTGTAAATGCCTTTCAGACTCTTGATATCTTTACTTGTTGTCTGCCCATAAATTATGATAACCTGGGCAAGGGAACTCTGCCCTTGCCCCCAGTACCCTGTGGAGTGCAAGAACCACCTGTCACTCTTAAGAGATTCTCTCCCTTTCATTGAACATGTCACTCAATACTAGACTAGTCTGACAGTGGATCTTGCTGGTAATCAAAAAGACACAAAATGTTGATTCACTGAATGAATGCATTTCCCCCTCAACATGTATAGAATATACATAGTGGTTAGAAAAATGTTTTCTGTCTCTTCAAGCCACCTATTTTCAATAATTTGAGTCCCCTTTGATGATGTTTCTTTTTCTTCTGTCCAACTAATGTAATTCAATAAAATGTACTGTTACTATTATTGTTACTTTAAATTTTTTCCATTCCCCCTTCTAGTAGCTGAGACCATTCTTTTCTTTGCTTCTTTTATTTTTCTCTTAGGCAGACACTCTATTGCTGAGCCACACCCCAACTTATTTTTTAATGCACTAGTTATTTTTGAGAATGGATTTTGCTTTCTGCCTGGGCTAGGATCTTGCTTCCTGCCGCAGCTGAGATGACAAATGTGGGCGACCACATCCAGCTTTTTCCATCAAGATGGGGTCTCATTTACTTTTCTGCCCAGACCAGCCAGGATTCTCTTGATCTCAATTTTCCAAGTACCTAGTATTACAAATGTGTGCCACCAGTTTTGAGCTTGTGTTTTTTATCATGCTCATAATTCTGTCATCTTCTACCAGGTTTCCTGGCCTTTTGATTCTGCCCCTCTCCTATATCCAATGCATTACAGATGAATTTTGCAGCACTCTCATCCATAGGCCAATGAAAGTCTTTAGGAAAATGAATCAAGAACATCACAAAACCAATCCTATCCTTCACCCTGGACATACCACAACCAAAACTTGCATCTTCTTTCTTGGACTGGGAAAACCACTGTTGTTGAAGTTCTACGATTCCTCCAGTCCTCACTCATAGGTGTTTTCTTCCCCAGAAGTTTCCTAATCACATGATCAGTTACTTTTCCAATACTCTTATTCAAACTACTCACTATACTTTCGTTTTAGCTGATTTGTGCACAGTCAGTCTCACCCTGAACAATCTGTTCATGCTAGAGCCCTATGATCTCAATCAAATTTAATATATTACTGACACCTAAACAGTGACTTTCCAAATAGCTACACTTACTCTGATCATGGAGTCTAAGCACTGAATTTTCTTCAAGCTCTTCAGGTAATCTTACTATATAGCCAAGTTTGAAAAACATTTCTATATCCATATTTGCTTCCATATCTTATCAAAAACTCACCAATCTTGAGTAACTAGGCACTCAGTCTTTGCATTTTAATTTAAATATTTGTCTTCCAAAAGCCCTTTCTAACCTTCTAGATCAAATAAGACTGCTCTGTGCCAGAGCAGTAACAGAGCCTGTCACTGTAGACTTCTCTCTTCTGTCTTTGAGGTTAATTACAATGAAAAAACTATGAGTTTCAGATTAATGAATGTATCCTAAATTCTTAGCATTGTCATCAGACACAAGTAATTTCTGTTAAATTAATGTGATAATGACATTGTGAAAATTCAAAAGTAAACAGATTATTTCACTGTTGAATCCCATAAATACCCTTTTCTCTAAACACTTCCAAAACTATTTTAAGATATTCATAATAAAACGATAACCCCTCTGCACAACACCTTACTGATAACAATAAAATTATATTTTAAAATACTTTAAAATAGTTTTAAGAAAACCCAGATGGCCAGATAACTCACAAATAGAAAAATACTACAAGTGGCCAGTTTTGAATCTAAGAACATATATCTTTTGTCACAATGGAAGTAAATGCTTGAAAGACAAGATAATAGGTCATCATATGTGTGTTAACTTTCTGTCACCAGGATAAAATGTCAGCAATAAATCAACAAATAAGAAGGAAGCATTATTGGGGCTCACAGTTTATAACATTTCAGTCTGTGGCCATTTGTCCCCTCGGCTGTGGGCCCATGGTGAAGCAAACCATCTAAATGAGGGCATCTGGAATAGTGTGAATTGGCTCACCTCACCTGGCCAGAGGGTAACAAGAGAAAACAGAGAAAAAAGTTGGCATCTTCAGTATTTACATCCAGCACACTGACCCAATGATCTACAGTCTTTCCTCCAGGTTCCACCTTGTAAAGGGCTCAATGCATTCCAGTAAAGTCACAGGCTAGTGACAATTATTCAACATGGGATCTTTGGGGGAACACTGAGAATCCAAGTCAAGAAAACATGACTGTACATGAATGAATTCTAAGCTTGTTCTGAAGACCAGAACATTTCCGTTGCTAATATTCTTTGTAAAGCCACAAATGAAAATTCTGTAAGAACATTAGGATATAGCCTAAAGTAATATGCTTGACTCTGCAGAGCTTGTTATCTTGTATATAAGAACAAAAGAAAAATAATCTTAATTCTGAAAAGAGAGGCACAGTAAAGACAGCTCATTAGTCAACTGCTATTCCGTCAATTATTATTAAGAGATACTCTCTGAGTAATATGAAGAAAAGCACAAAGTACATTTTCTACATACACTTTATTTCTGATGAAGCTACATGCATATTTTTCTTTTTCTATTATAATGATGTGAAAATAAAGTTAATTTTCAGATCCTCTGGTTTTCATGATGTTCACGGATGACCTTTAAACCAGTATAACACGAGGCACAGTGGCTCACCCTAGTAATCCTAACTACTCTGAGGTCTGAGGATTGTTGATTGGGACTAGCTCAGGCAGGAAAGTCCTTGAAACTTTTATCTCCAATAAATGACTCAAAAAAAGCCAGAAGTGGTGCTGTAACTCAAGTGATAGAGAGCTAGCCTTGAGCTAAAGAAACTCAAGGGCAGTGCCCAGGACCAGAGTCCAACTCCAAAGGCCAGCAGAAAATAAATAAAAAAGCAAATAAATAAATAAATAGATAAAATCAGTATAGCATAGCTTTATTATTATGGTTCATTCATCTGTCATTCACTGTAGAAATTACCGATCTAGGAAATTAAATAAACTAGAAGCAAAAGGGCAACATAACCTCTTACCACTAAGAAATAAAACTAACATGCCCCTTTTAAGTAACTGGTAAACAAAATATATTGTCTCTTATAAGAACAGATTATTTCACACTGTTAATGCTATATTCAATTAACCAAATTCACACTGAATGTTACAATGTAAAGTCATCAGAATAAGAATAACAGGTGCTCAAATTTTAAATATCACATGGCCTCTTATTATCAGGAAAATCAGAAAAAAAAGGTCAACAGCTAACTCTACTACAGGACAAAAATAATTTATTATGAAACATGCTATAAGGGTTCAGGGGCAATAGCTCAGGCTAGGACAAGGCAGAACAATCTGATGCTGTGTATGTGTTGAGGAAAGAATCATAGAACTCTCAGGGTGGTATTTCCTATCAGAAAGGACCACAAACAGGACACAGAAGCTGGGGCCTATGCAACAGCTCTGAGAAAATAAAGCTGGAGAAAACAAAAAAAAACAAAACAGCAGTTGCAAAAAAGATCTGGTCACACTGAAGAAGGCCTTCAGTAGAATCTGCTCTTAAGACAACAGAAATCTGTGCACTGTTAGACACAATTTAATTGAGTTTCACGAACAATTGAAGAGGTAAAAATGGTTGCAAGCAAACTATTGAAAAGGGCTTCTCAAGCAGTCGAGGAGACACATTTTAGACAAGAGAAGTCAGAGGACTCATTGTTCAAGGGGAACACTAAACATTAAATGACTGAAAATCTGAACAAAAGGACGAACAATTGATTCAACCTTTTTATACAATAACAAATAGAGATGGAATACAGAATGAAAATCAAATCAACCATTTATGTAACTCCCCAAATAACTGAGCAGTATAACAGCTGAATTCTTACAAATGTCTCTGAACAATTAAATCTCAAAGAGCAGACCTCTAACACACTGAGGATCTTCCAACTTCTGCTACTTGTCTTTTTGCTGCTTCCAACTTTTGCTCCATGACAATGACATCCATCATTGTTAGGAGAAAACACACACAGCACCCTATCACTTGTCCCACAGATATAATCTGCTTCATTAAGGGAGATCTAAGACTTCTCAAGACAGAATTAAACAATAACATTATCAATTCCCCAAAAAAGAACAAAAAGAAAAATCTCAGGATTTTCAGCTGCTATGTAATCAAAGACAATTCTCATTAGACCAAGGCCAATTGGAAAGGAAACTCACTTTGTGGTGGCCGGAGCAAGGGAAAGATAGAGAGAAGAGGAACAACATGGGTGTGTATCTGTGTTTTCATAGAGGAAACATCATGCGAGCATTCCCGATGAAACCTCTCCCTTGCCCTCAATGCTGTCACCATTTTACAAATGAGAAGGAGACAAATTGAACTTCTCAATTTTTTATTAACATGGAAAGATCTGAGATGTAAGCTAGCTTCTCCTAACTCCAAAATCCATGTTCTTTCCAATAAGCACACTGCCTCCAGGATTTGTCCTCAGTAATCCTTCTCATAAAATGTGACCTCCTTTTCCTTGGTTGACATTCGATACACATCACTGAGTACCTACTACATGCTAAATCTTGATGATTACCCTTCATTAGTGTATTCAAGTGTTGAATACTAAGCATGATGTCCTCTTCATTTTGCGTCTCTTCATCAACTTGCATTTCAGAATGAACATTATCATTATTTTATTCCCATTAACTTTCTGAGCATTTTCTGGTAAATATAGAAATGTGTGATATTTGTGCTATAAAAATTAAATATCACTGGTGCCAGTGGCTCAGACTTATGACCAACTACTTGGGAAGCTGAGACTTGGAGGACAGAGAGTCAAGGCTAGTCAGGAAGAAAGTTCCAGACACTCTTTCCCATCACATAGCTTGGCACAGGGACATACTTGTTAACTGAACCTATATGGGAGGTTGAAACTAGGAAGATCACAGTTACAGATAGAAAACTTCATAAGTTCCAATTCCATGGAACAAAGCTGAACCCTGGTGATGTGAGACCCCAGCAATCATGGAAGGGTTAGAGTACTCAGATTGAGGAATATGCACATGGCCAGGCAGGAAGTGATGAACTGTCTCAAAACACCAGTGCAAAAATACAGGGCTGGTGACTGGGGTGGGTGGTTCACGCCTGTAATCCTAGCTACAGGAGGTTGAGATCTGAGGATTGCGGTTCAAAGCCAGCCTAGGCAGGAAAGTCCATGAGACTTTCATCTCCAATAAACTTCCAGAAAACCAGAAGTGGTGCTGTGGCTCAAGTGGTAGAGCACTAGCCTTGAGCTAAAGAGCTGAGGGACAGACCCAGGCCCAAATATCAAGCCCTACAACTGACAAAAAAAACAGCATTGGAGGCATTGTTCAAGAAGTAGAGTACCAGGGCTGGGAAGGCCTTGCATGCATGAGGCCCTGGGTTCGATTCCTCAGTACCACATAAACAAAAAGAAAAAAGCGGTAAGTGGTGCTGTGGCTCAAGTGGTAGAGCACTAGCCTTGAGCTGAAGAGCTGAGGGACAGCGCCCAGGCCTAGAGTTCAGGCCCCATGACCGGAACCCCCCCCCCCAACAAAAGAAGTAGAGTACCAGTCTAGCAAGCTCCAGGTCCTGAGTTAAAAGTCAGTATTGTCAAAAAGTGTCTACCACTTTTTGAAAATATTAAAACTTGGATTTGTTGGAAGCAAAAGTTCGCATTAGATAACCATCTAAAAGAAATATCTTAGATATTTCAGCAAATTTAACAACTAAAAATTCTTAGGACAGTTGTTTTTAGAAATGATGCTGCCACAGATTTTAGTAAAATTTTAACTGAAAAAACATAAAGATGACTATGTTTATATACGCTCTCACTTATATGTGGGATATAGAAACATTGGAATTATAAAAGTTGAGACTAGAATGATAAGGCCATTCTTCCTATAAAATAATTCTAGAATATACCAAAGAATTCTCCAATAAAATAAAGGGAATAAAATTAGATGAGATTAATACTGAACCCTAATAAGGCCATTTGGAATGAATATAGAAAATAAAAAGACACATTAAACCAGTGACCTCTGTAGTATTATGCTCACCTTTGGTCCTCAGTTCCACCCAGACCTGAGCCTCTCTCATCCCAGGAGTTCCCCCATACAGCTGACCCCTCCCCTCTCTCCACCCAGATCCACCTGGGCTCCCATTCACCTCACTTCTGACCCTCAGACCCCTCCTGCTACCTGGATGGTGCTGGAGGCCATGTGCTCCCTCTTGGGGGAAAAATGGCTCCTCTAATAAACCTTATAATAGTCTTTCTCCTGTACCTGCCTTCCTCTGCATGGTCCCTGGGATGGATGGATGGGACCCTTCAGCCTCAATCTCGGTTGTATTATAAGAACACAGATTGTTTAAAAAAAATAAAAAACACTTATGTACTCATAAGTCTGGTGTGATCATATGGAATTCTCACATACAATCAAGATTTGAGTGCAAGCCCAAACAGCCTTCTACTAATACTAAAAAGAAGCCTTTGAGAAAAATTTTTAAAATAAAGTTTGAAAACGAAAATTGTAGCTGGACAACATTGGCTCAACCTATAACCCTATCTACTCAGAAAGATGACATCTGAGGATCACAACTCAAAGCCAGAAGGGACAGATAAGTCTGAAAGACTCATATATCCAACCCAACAACAATAAGACAGAAGTAAAGGTATGTCTCAAGTGCTAGAACATTGGCCTTGAGCAAAACTGCAAACTTGAGGCCCCAGATTTCAAGCCCCCATACAAGCACAAGAATAAAGAAAGGGAAGGAAGGAAGGAAGAAAAGAAGGAAGGAAGGAAAGAGGGAGGGAGGGAGGGAGGGAAAAGGAAGTTGTAGATTCCACTGTGGTACTTTTTTTCATACCTACAGGAAGTTCTTACCATTGACAGATACCTACAGGTGCAAAAGGCCTGGTTGATTTGATTTGTCATTTTCTGTGAAAAAGTTTAGTATCTCAGTTGGCCCTGATCACCACCAGAGTGGACTGCTTGCACACATCATATCCTTTAAAGAGAAGTTTGTGGGGGAGGAGGGACTGGGAATGTGGCTTAGTGGTAGAGTGCTTGCCTAGCATGCATGAAAGCCTGAGTTTGATTCCTCAGTACCACATACACAGAAAAAGCTGGAAATGGTGCTGCAGCTCAATGGGTAGAGTGCTAGCCTTGAGCAAATGAAGCTCAAGGACAGTGCCAAGGCCATGAGTTCAAGCCCCAGGACCGGCCAAAAGACAGAGAGAGAGACTGACAGACAGACAGACAGACAGAGACAGAGAGACAGAGACACGGAGAGAGACAGAGGGAGGGGGAGAGAGAAGTTTCAGGGAGACTGGCAAAGCACAGCTTGCAGCAGCACATAGCTCTCTAGGTTCAGCTCTACTTCATCTCTAGCTTCAGACATTCCAAAAATGTACAACTACACAAGGCAGTCCACCAGCACGGAGTTAGGCTACTTTAACAGACTCCTGCTTAGAAATTACAGATACACTGAGATGCCCTGTGGTTTGTGGAATAAAAGCTAATCAGATGAGAATAAACACTTCATAAAAAATACACAAATGGATGTAACTTCAGAAATAGGAAAAGCACAATTGTTAACAAAATAAAATATTAAAATAGTGGCAAACTGCCACCTAATGTGACTGGGTCAAAGAATAAGGTTATTTTGTTAAACTAGTGTTTTAAGAAATTACACTGTTCCAGGAGAAGGTGTTTTGATGTCTTTTTTAGAATAACAATGGCAAGAAGGATCTCAATTTCTATAGTTTTACTGATAAATTAGAAACTTCTAAGTAGTATAAAAAAGAACATAGATAAATGCGAAGTATCATGTAAGATGTCACCAGTTACTTTTTCACCAAGCCATATATGTCATATTATAATTGACATGGAAAAAATCTGCCTTAAAATATGAAAGAAGAAAATGATAAAGAAAAGTTTTTAAACAAGAAGCAGCAATACTCAGTTTTTTATTTTTATT